TCAATGAGATATATAGGTATTGTCTTTAACAACAGGGACGTACTATTAGTTTATAGAGAACAAGCAATAGCCCTGGCAATAGCCTGAGTTGTTTGGGGGCTTCCATGGAGCCTCTTTCATCAACTCAATTAGTTATAAGCCATTTCTAGCACTAAAGTTTCACTTGATGGTAAGAGATAAATAGTTGGAGCATTGTCTCTTCTTGTTATTTAGTGATTTCATTTAGATTTCTTTCATGAATGTGTATATTTTAAGAAGATTCTCCTGTAGTAGATTTCCATATGATCCTTCAAATGGCCCTTGGTTTTCATGTCCCTCTTCATACTCGCTCCCTTAAAGCCCTTCTTAACTTGTGATAATAAATTGTTATTGTCAACTTGACTGGGGTTGAAAACACCAAGGTCATCAGTGAGGCACATTTCCGGGTGTCCCTGTAAAAATCTTCCCATATTGAATTAACTGAGAGGTGAAGATTCCCTGTGAATATGGTTGATACCATCACATGAATTGGGGGTCTTGGACTGGGGGAAAGAGATAAGAGTAGCACCATGAGAGTGCTGACATTCTCCTCCAGCTGTTTCTAGGTCTGCGACTATGTGAGCAAGTAGCCCTGTGCTCCGTTACCACTGCTTTGCTATCTGAATCCACTAGCTTTCTTTCATTCACTTGCCTCTGGTAAAGTGTTTAGCTGCAGACACAATAGTAACTAAGAGAAGAAGAAATATTTTCCTTGCAAGTATTACTAGTAGTAACTATTAATTATTTTGTAGTGCTTGGAATTAAACCCAGGGCCACATATAAACTAGACAAATGTTTTGCCACGAAGATGCATTTGTTTCTCTATTTTTCTAACTGATCTTGACATACATGACAGCAGCTAATCCATACTTTTATTACCAATCAGTATTAGTATAAATGCAAAGTGTTTTCTGAAAAGGTATGTGGCATGAAATGGGAAAAAAAAAAAAAACAAAACATTGCTTACTACATAAATTCACAGCCATGTGTTATTGGCTGAAGTGTCCCAGAAAAATAATTTTGGGGGACTCTGTTTTACCAACACTTTTAGTGCTTTCCTGTGACAAGAAAGCAATAAACTCTAATGTGCATCTCCACTCAGATTGTTTGGTTAGTGCAAAGGCATGAGCACCATGGTAGAAAAGACACTTGGGGAACATGAAATACAACATCTAGTGATAAAGAGGAGGAACATGAGGACCATAAAATGTAAGTAACTTGTTCAAGGTCACAGAGAGTCAATGGCAGAGCCTCCCAGCCAGCAGTTTCTATGCTGTGATGTGGCAATCAGCCTGTGAAGATCCTAGCAGCAGGCTCAACCAAGTGCATTGTGTCAGTCCCTGCCCTCTTCTACAACACATATAGACAATAAATGATACTTATTGGTTGGAAAGGAATCTTTTACTCATTCAACAACTACTCAGTAAGTTTCTCTCACATCCAAGTACAATTCCATGCATTATGGGGTAAAAAATAAGATAACACATACTTCCTTTCCCTGGTCCTCATCATCTATTAATCAGGGCAGAAAAAATGTCAATAAATAAATTAGAGAAAAATGTCTATAGTAGTATCTACACAGACTATATACTTAGAATAAAACTGTAAGGTAATATACTTTTAAATTATATATGCATATATATATATATATTATTTCAAGTGATGACTTAATAACAGAAGAGATCCAAGAGCAATATCAGGATTGGAACTGATACATATCTGGAATGCCAGGATGTGGAAGGGAAAAGTGAATCATCCTCAGCTACTTGACACTTTCCATCCCAGGCTGGGATACATGACACAATGTCACCAAATAACAACAAAACCCCGAAGTCACCGTATAAGTTTGTAAGTAGCTGACACAAGTGACTAATATCAGGTTTTATTATTCTAAATATTGTGTTCAATTCCTGTTAATATTCCTGCATCTTAGAATTGGAAAATTGGCTGTTTTTTCCTTGTAGGTATACATGAGATATAGTAAATGAACACATTCAACCTAAGAGTAGAGAGGAAAATACAGAACATATTTGTAGAGCATATGGGTTTAGGTGGTTGTGCAATAAGCACCGATCATTTAAATAATTAGTGATCAAAACAGCAACTTAATTATGACAAAGTACATTCTGTTAAACTTTCATAGGGTATTTATTTCCCATTAGCTGTGCATTCACAACTGTGACTTAGAATAAGTATGTATCTTTCTTTATGAATTCACTCAATCCTGTTCTGACTTTCTGCCTCAAGCAAAACATTAAGAGCCTATTATTAAAGAAATATTATGGGAAGATGTTTTCATACACAGCAAAACACACTAACTAGATTCAACACTAGTCTCTATGTTTATTCTTAAATTATATTAAAGTGTGTGTGTGTGTGTGTCCATGTGGAAAATTTGTTGGAGTTGATAAGCCCTTCCTCACATGTGTCCCTGGATCCAAGTCAGGATTTCAGGCTTGTCAGCCAGTGCCTTTGTTTGCTGAGCCATTTTACTGGTCCAAATCTCAGTTTGAAGATTTGTGACAAAATCCTATAAACTTCTTCCATTCATGTCTCTAAAACAAACATACAAATTGTCACATTGAGTCAAATATTACAAGCAAATATGAAGGTTTCTATACACAAGTGAGCTTGTAGATCTATTTGGGGATAGTAAGAATGAATTATGTGTCATTTCTGGGTATATATAGTAGTTGGTATATGAGTAGTACCCTGGGCATTCCTGGGGAATTGTTTTCAAGACAACAGTTATTAAAACTGTTGGCTGTTACAGATCCTTACACACAGTTTGCTGCAAACCTGAACTCCTGCAAGCCTGTAAGGATGAGTGTTGGGGATTCCTGTTCCTGGGAGGAAGGCAGAGGGTGAGCACACGAGGCACTGTACTAAAGAGAGCAAGCAATCCTCACAGCCAGCTTTTTGGCATCATGGATTTGCTTCACAAATGCTTTCTATTCAAAGGAAACCAAAGTTTCTTGTGACTGTTAGATTTCAAAGTAATGGAGTCTGAATCTCTGATGGCTCTGTGTGTGCTGGTCAGATTTTCCTTCTGCTAACAAGTCCCTGAGACAATGAATCTGTGTGGAAAAGAGGTTTGTTAGACCCACAGATATGGAGATTTCACGATGTGATCATTTGACCCCAGTGCTTTGTGTCTATGGTGGTAACGAGGGGGAAACAACCTTCCTGGGTCCAGGGTCAAGAGAAAGGGGTCATGGTAAAGAGGCCAGGGAGATGCCTCAGTCAGTGAAGTCCTGTTGTACAAACATGAGGATGAAGTTAGGTCCCGGAGAAAACACTAATAAACCTGAGGCAGCTGGAAAGGTAGTACTGTAAGTAAAAGTACCTGATGCATAGGCTTGAGGATCTAAATTCAGATCTCCAGCACATACATAAAAAGATGGGCATAGATACATATGGGAACAGACAGATAGAATGAGAACCTGGGTGTAGTGGCATGTTAATGCTGGAGAGATAAATATGAGCCCTTGTGGCTTGCTGGTCAAGCAGCCTAGAAGAATTGGTGAATTCCATGCCAGTAGGAGACAACCTCTTTAAAAACAAAGTGGACAACAGAGTCATATGTAATTACACCCAAGGTTGTCCTGTGGCTTCAATACACAAGTGCACACATGCATCTAACTCAATACACACACACACACACACACACACACACACACACACACACACACACAGTAAAAGGTAGAAAAAGAAAAAAAAAAGAAAGATATGACCCTAATGACCTTGGCATTTCCTTCTGAGTTTGTGCTTAAGAGTTCTACCACTCACCACTAGCACCAAGCTAGTGATCAAGCTTTTAAACAAGTGTCTCTGGTTGTATTCAAGGTCAAAACCATAGCTTACATTCTGATCTTAATTTGTGCTGAGAACCATGGACAGCTTTACTTGGGAGGGAATCACAAAGTAAAGTGTCCCAGTAGAGTGTTAAATACAATAGTATGGGAAAACAGATACTTAAGCTGTTAGGTTGGTCTAATGACATATCAATGGCTCTATGGAAAACATAGGAGAGAACTTGTGGGTAGATAGGATGTTCAATGCCCATTCCCTACAGAGAACTTTAAAACCTGCTTCGTCAGATCATCTTTCTAAGGCCTTGTCTACCTTGTTTTCCTTCCAGAGGGATTTGTGTGTGTGTGTGTGTGTGTGTGTGTGTGTGTGTGTGTGTGTGTGTGTGTAATTTTGTGAGTTGAATGTAAGACCAAAAGTCATGTTTGAACACTTAACTTCCCTGCTAAGGTGCTTGACAGAGGTTGTAGAACTTTCAGGGGGCGGGACCTCTCTGGAATGAGTAGACTGTTGGGACTCAGATATGGAGGAATAGATAGTCTGTCCCTACTTCTAATGTAAGCCCCCTCTGCATTTTACCTGCTGGTTTCTTCTGACAACCTGAAAGCTCCTATTTGCTTCCTACCTTCCCTGCCATGACAGATTGTATCTCATGAATCAGGGACCATGCTAGCCTCTTTTCTCCCTGAAGGGCTTTCTGCCAGATATTTTTGTCACAGTAAAGAGAAAGTAACCGATATTGGGAGGTAGCTGACCAGTTTACTAATTCACCAGGGAGGCCATAGCTTCAGCTTTGATTGCTCTGCCCTTTGAGTGTGTACATTGCCTGCACTGGGCGCTACTTCATTTCATATACTCAAAATTTACTGTATTCTTGATCCCTGTCAAGATGCAAAATTTCTGCAAGGTGCTGTGGTGTAAGAATGGCTCAAACTCAGCCAGTGCAGGCTGTACCCTAACCCAGAGACAAATGGCTGCTTCATCCTGCAGTAGGCAGTGAAAGGGACTGCTGAGCACTGCAGGCTGACTACTTTCCTGCCGTAAAAGGCTGTTCTGTCTTGATGCCTTAGCTTTGTATAAAGCTGTGGAAGAAGTAGCAATGGAATGGGAAATTGTGAGGATGCATGACAGTTACAGGGCTAATTCCTGTGGACCACAGCACCTTGGAGTTTCTAGGACACAGCTTCAGTTACAAAGAGAGGTGCCATGTCTCCTGTGCTGGCAGTTATATCTGGAGGAAATCAGGAGGAAGACTCAGAAAAGGAGAGTGATGGGAGATGTCATTCTGTAAATATGATTCTCATACTGGTTAATGAATAAAGCACTGTTGGCCAATAGGAAAGCAAGAGAGGGGGGACTAGGAGACAAGGAGGAAAGAGGAAGGAGGAAGGAGTCAGCATGGAGAGAAGGGAGAGAACGGAACCGCAAGCCCCCTGCTCTCCAGTAAGACCACATGGAAATACATAGAAATGGGTTAATAATTCAGACAGAGCTAGCCAATAAACTAGTACCTGGCCAACAACATTATATCAAATACAGAGTCTTGGTGTATTAATTGATGCTGGCGCGGTGGCGGGACAAGACCGACAGCAGGTGAAAACCCTTACTCCTTACCGGAGAGTGTCTTGGTTCAGTCACCAACTGCATAAAAGAAACAGAGTGGTACACTGTGCATGGCCTCCTCTTGCCCATCTTCCTTCTGCTCTCTTTGTTGCTGGATGAATATAACCATGCAAGAGAACTAAGAAATTGCTGCGGTGAATCACAGTCCATCTCCCTAGAAGCTGAGTAGTACAAACATTGGCTATATCCCAGGAATCTGTCCAGACACTGACAGCTATGGGACTCTGGCTGCCTTCTCTATCCCTCTTTATTTTTCTACACACTAAGAAAACTCATAAAAATGCATGCTCCCTGTAAATACCCATTTTCTTTGACCTTGTGGCTTTGCAGGATACACAAACTGTAGTGTGTTGTGATTTCAGGAGAACTGGATATAAGGCATAGCTCAGCCTCTCCTTGGCTTTCTGGTACCAATCAAGGTGTGTGGAGATAATAACCATTTCTGTGCCGATCTGTGCAGATCTTGGGCTTGGTTCGGAGAGAATGCTTATCTGGCTATCACATATAGCCTCGGCCATAAGAAACGTTTGGGTGTTTCTTCCTTTACTCTCAGCTTGTCTGCTTTACTTCCCCACTTTTTTTATATATATTGTGTAAAGCACACAAGAGTTGCTACGATGTGAAGACTTCTTCCACATCTTCTTCTGCCAACTGACGTCCACCTACAGAAGCTATTTGCAACAGTGCATAGCTTTTACTAGTCCTTGGATTCTGACTGCCAGTTAATGGTACCCTCTCTCTCCCTCCCTCCCTCTCTTTCATATGTGCATGTATAATTACTACACCTCACAAAACTTCTTTACAATTTTGTTTGGTGATATTTCACATTCATACGATTACTCAAACTGAAACGAGAAGTTAAAGTTAATACCCATTGCTTGAAAATGGGCATACATTTCCTGTGTGTTGTCAGGGGTATAAAACGGCTCCACCTTAATGGACAGCAGACCTCAAGGTGGCAGAAGTCCCTGAGAACATGCACACTTTTTGCTCTGGCAATGGTATCTCACGAAATTTAACCTGAGTATATAATCAATTATCTTCACAGGAATCTACTTACTAAAATGTTATTATAGCCCTAGCTACAACATGTCTGCATGTACATGCCAAAAGGATACTGTTCATTTGAAACACCTATATAAATGGATATTACCTTGCTTGGTAAAATCAGTTATTGGTATGGTTATGTTGGCTCATTGAATGTGTTATTACGTGTGTGTGTAAGGACTACGGGTAGTTCCCGCCCACCGCCACTGGTCTTGTCCCGCCACCGCACCAGCCCCAATTAACACACAGAGACTCTGTATTTGATATAATTCCATTGGCCAGGTACTAGTTTCTTATCGGCTAGCTCTGTCTTAAGTATTAACCCATTTCTGCTGATCTAATATTTCCACGTGGTCTTCTTACTGGGGAAAGGGGCCAGCGTCTCATCTCCCCAGTCTCTCCATCTTGACTCTTACTACTTCCCCTTTCCTCCTTGTCTCCTAGTCCCTCCTATCTTCATTTCCTACTGGCCAACAGTGGCTTTATTCATTAACCAGTATGAGAAACATATATACATATTGACATCTCCCATCATGTGCGTGCGTGCGTGCGTGCGTGCATGCGTGCGTGCGTGCGTGTGTGTGTGTGTGCATGTACTCATAGGAGCCACACAGAGTTTTGTGAAGAACAGAGTATGACTTTGGGGCATTTATTTATTTATTTATTTATTTATTTATTTATTTATTTTTTTGTTCTACCATGTGTATTCTGGAAATTGAGCACAGATTTCCAGAGTTGTCAGTAAAGCACGGTACTGCTAAGGGGTTTCAGCAACCTCATTTGTTCTCCACTTTGGAGTGTGACAGTACAGGATAAATAAGTCTATAATGGGGCTGGGCAACCTTTCTTAATCTACCTTGCATTTAGGTAATGAAGGAAACCTACCCCTACTCACTACTTTAAAAAATTAGAAGCATGGATATGCACCACACACACACACACACACACACACACACACACACACACACACACTCACACACACACACACACACACACAGTAAGGGAGGGGGAGGGATAGATAGGGACAATGATGCTTCTATTACCATAAGATTAGAGATAAAAAACCCAATTCAAAAATAAAAGTTTCTTCTATTGGTGTTGTTGGTCCGGAAGTTTCTATAGACACACAGATGTTACATGCTATTACTAATCCTACTGGAAATTGATGCTAAGGCCCATCCACAGTATTATCATCTGTCTCACCATCCGAGCACCCTGCAGGATACAATAACAGCTGACCTGCTGAGACAGGCCCATGGTACTATAGCAGGAAGAACACCATGCAATGAACCAACAATGTTCTGGTAGAGTGAAGTTCCTTTCCACAGCATTTAAATCCCTTTCTACAGGATAAAACCTGGGATGAGTTTGGGGCCAAGAACCTATGGTTAAGCAGTCATAGGTCTGAGGAAAGGGCCTGCTATTATTATTCTGCTATGTGAACATAGTATTGAACTGACTTATGATGACTTCTTGTTACCTCATCTTTTGACCTGCATCAGAAATTCTTTTTTTATTTTCAGGAGATGGTTGTTAACACAGAGGCCCATAACTAGCCAAGATTCATAGACTAAGTTCCTGAGCAATGTTCAGCTTTTTGTTTTTTCTTGTTTTGGTTTTGGTTTTTCCAGACAAGGTTTCTCTGTATTGCTTTGGAGCCTGTCCTGGAACTAGCTCTGTAGACCAGGCTGGCCTCAAAGTCATGGAGATCCATGGAGTCCATGGATCCATGGATCCATGGAATTATGGAAAAGGGGATAGACATGGGAAAAACTCATTGTATATATTTTTCAAATAACTAATAATAAAAAGGAAACTTGCTTTCAGCTTATTCCTCATAGCAGCATCAACTTTGGTCCTTGTCTATTGAGATGGAATTGGTGACCAGACACTGGTTACTGGATACCTGAGATATGCCAGGTACCGTCCAAGCATTTCAGACTGTGTTTGGCATTCTCCCTTCCTCTAAGCCTCATGAATTTAAAGTCTTCATGTAGATTTAACAGGTAGTGAAATTAAACTGCAGAAACTAAGCAAGATGGCACAAATCAGGTAAGGGCTGGATTAAAACATCATTCTCAATCTGATCCCCTGTCCCCTGCACAAATCTATGCTCTTCCTATGCAAACCTAAACTCATAGAATATAAGGCAATATAATGCATGTGCACAAAGGAATGACAGAGACTGGAGACATAAATATCTCAGCAGCTAAAAACCACCTCTGTGCCAGAAGAACTGAGTGCTGTTCCCAAACACCCAGGTAGGGTGGCTCACAACAGCCACACACATACACTCACAGGCATGTATGCACACACACATAGAAACATAAATAAATGAAAGAAATGGCACAACAGTGTGAGTCCTTAGGAAAGTCCCAAAGTCAGAATAGATAGACTTCTATTTTTTTCATAGGAACTCAAACATTGGAGACAGATGGACAGATAAGGGAAAGAAAGGAGGGCAGTTCCTAGAGCCGGACATCCTGATAAAAGGCTTAGGGTGGCACAGCTTACTCAGCAGGGGACAGAGAACTATGTGGGAGCAGTGTGTGGTTTGGAATGCAAGGAAGGGACACGGAGGGGCAGCACTGATTTCATCAGCTTGACAAGCATGGCTGAATGCAACAGGAGTTCCAGAATTGATTTCACAGTGCTGATCCTGAGTCATCAAAAAAGGGTCCCATTTTCTGTTCTTAATTCTGTGTTTAGGAAGGCAAGGAGGTGTGTAATCCATTGGAGAAAGATTTCCATTTCAAATAGTTAGAATTTCTTTGAAAATATTTTTTTTAGCGTTTAAAGGGATAAGTGACAGTTATCTGGAAAATTCGCTTAGGTGGAACGGTTTCTTCCCCTGAAGATTTTAGATTAGTCAAGCAGCGTGGTGTATTTAGTTAGGTGTCTTCCATTCATGCTTTACTGACATTTCTGTCTCTATTGTTCCCCGGCCACTTTAACCCTGCAAACACGAAGCAATAGATACTAAACCTCATGAGAGAATGTGATACTCTCTCTTAGATACTTGATACTCTCATGACCTTTAGGATGAATTCATACTTGCAGAAATAAATGCCTCCATAAGGGCTTAGTGACTGAAACCTTCCATCTCAAGCCGCAAGAGGAGGTATGTAGATCTATCTGAGTTTATGGCTATACTGTTCTATATATGGAGTTCCAGGTCAGCCAGAGTGGCATAATGTGTCAGGAACATATGAGAAGGCAATTGCTCCATGTTCCTGTTGCCTCAGGCCATCCTGCTGTTGCCATCATGCCTTCCCTGTCATGATGGGCTTCAAACCGTGAACCAAAAGCAATCCCTCTTTTGGATGCTTTACAACAGTAAGAAAGATGGCTGATTCACACATAATAATGAAACCATTCATTCAAAAAAAGAAAAAAGAAGAAAAACCCAGTTAGGGAAACATAAAATTAGGTTTTTTGTTTGTTTTGTTTTGTTTTTCTGAAATGAAACTTCAAAACTAGGGATTATGTCCCTTCATACAGTCAGTGCTTTGCAAACATGCACAACAGTTATGGGTTTGATGGCCAGAACCACAGGAATGACCCAGCATGGTGGTACACTCCCACACTCCTGGCACCCCAGATATGGAGGCAGGGTGACCAAAAATTCAAGATCATTCTCAGCTACATAGTGAGTTAAAGGCAAATGAATGCAACATGAGAACCCCCATCTTAATAACTAATTAATTCATTAAAAACAAAAATTTACTTTTAGATCCACCTCCACTGAAGTGTCTTCTTCAGGCAACAGAAATTCTACGAACACAGAGTAGCGTCTACCTGTCTTGCTAGGCCCATTGTTTGGCGCTTGCTCCTTAAATATCCTTTGCTCTAGACATAACTTATAACTCTTGAGTGTATAAACTGGGATCCTTGATACCTTATGATGCCCTCTTCCCACTCCACCAAACAGTGTCCAGCTACCATACTTTCCATATCTAGCTCATATGCTGTGTCTTCAAATGCCATTGTTTCGAAAACATACTCATGTCCACAGCTGTTGAGGGTGGATATTATCACTATATTGTTCTGAAGATGGAGAGTCAAGTATAGACTCAACAGATCTTCCAATATGAAAGCAAAGGCTCTTGGCTCATATCTTTCCTCAAAGTAAAGTGATCAAGTGTACTGCAGGCACTTTCTTGTCAACTACCTCTCTCTTTGGATGTCTTAATTAGTGTTTCTAGTGTTGTCATAAAACGCCATAACCTAAAAAAAAAAAAAAAAAAAAAAAAAAAAAAACTTGAGAAGGAAAACTTACAATTTTCAAGTGACAATCCATCACTGAGAAGCCAGGATAGGAACCTGGAGGCAGGAACTGAGGTACAGGCCATGGGGGGCGGGGGGAGACATTGTTTATTGGCTTGCTTCCTCTGGCTTTCTAAGGTTTATTTTTATTTATTGTTTTTCTTAGATACTCCAGCATTGCCAACCTACAGGTTGTCTCGCCCATAATTGGCTTGGTTCTCCCATATTAGTCACTAGGAAAGTTTGAAGGTATTTTTAAAATTGATGACTCTAGCTTGTATCAGGGAAAACAGAGGCAGGATATTGGCTTATGTGTTTCAACCGTACCATGCAGAAAGGCAGAAGCTTACCTGGTGTGTTAAGCAGGCGGGATCTCCTGCAGTGGTATGCCACCTCCTGTTCACAGTGCTCTGAGCCATCAATCAGAGCTTCCAGCTGCTCCATACTGCCACCATAGTTGAAGGTCATGGCATAGGGCTTCTCCGCGTTGGAACCCTGTACCCGAGTCAGTTCTGTGTTGTTGTGCTGAACCGTCATCCAGATCTTGTCCTCTGCAGAGACAACAATGGAGAGCAAGAAAAGTTAGAAGTAAAGCCCAAAGAGGCGTACATAAACAGCGAGTCACTCAATACAATGTCACTCAGTACAATGATGTCTCCACCTCAGTGCTCTGTACAGACAATGGGATCAGGGCATTCTATTCCTTACAAAAGAACCCAAAAATTGAGTTTGTTAGAGGGCTCTATCCTGAGTTAATAAGGGGACAAATAATCTTAGGGGTTACGCTTATGAGTCTTTATTCTACAGGATTTATACTTCGTATTTAATGTAAATTATTATTTTAAAATTGACCAGGACATTCTCCCTCCTTATCCTGGGGGAGACTTTCAAAGACTTTTGAAAGCATATCAGCATCTGCACATGCTTAACTCTATCGCAGAAAATAACATAGTATGTGCATATTATAGATACTTCCTCTACACTATAAATCATCCCCATGTTACTTTTGATACATAATAAAAGATAAATGCTTTGTAAACTGTTGTTAGGCTGCATTGTGTAGGAAATTTTGACATGGGCAAAATACCTATGTAAATTCAGTACTGGCACAGTACCAGGCGTAATTTCTAAAATGCACATTAAATATCAGTTTGAAAACAGCAGCTACAGATAATAAGTATTTGTAAAACAACACATTATTGTCAAAGATGAAACTACACTGTGTAAGCATCCAGACCTGGAAATTAAGCCCTGAAATGACCTTGTAAAAAATACTGAGCACAGTGACACAAGCTTGTAATTTCAGTCCTGGGAGGGAGGGCAGAGAAAGGAGGACCCCTTGGTCTTGTTGACCAGACAGCCTAGTCTATCCAGAGTGCCAAGCCAATGAGAGTTTCTCAAAGGAACAAAAGTGGGTTTGAAAAATGGCTCAGCAGTTAAGAAAGTATACTACTCTTACAGAAGACCCACGTTCAGTACCTATGATCCACATTAGGTGTCCATGACCACCTGTGAGTCCAGTTTGGGAGGGTCCAATGCTCTCTTCCGGTTTCCATAGGCATTTGCATTCACATGACCAGATACCACCACCACAGAAACATAAGTACACTCCCTCTTTTAATCTCCACAGAAAATGAACAACATTTGAGGAATGACACCTAGGCTGCCCCCTGGCTTCCAAATGTGTGCTAACGCACAAACATGTATGAAGAGAATTTTTGGTTGCCAACTTGACTACATATGAAGTTTACTAAAACCCAAGCAGCTGGATACACCTGTGAGGAGTTTTTCTTGATTAAAACCTTTGGAGTGGGAAGTTCCACCGTTTAATCCAGACCTTTTGACGGCGGAATCTGGGCTTTTATCTGGGTCACAGTTTCTAGTGGAAGCCTGCATAAGGGACATGAAAGAAGAGAGGAGATTTTGCACTTTACCTGCCTGGCCTTCCTCTTGCTGGAAAGTTCATTAACTGGCATTGGAGACTACTTTTTCAAGATTCTGGCACTTCCTGAAAATCAGCTGAGACATCCTTAGACAGCCATTGTTGTACGATCAGGACCACAGCCTGCAAACCACTCTAATAAATCCCATACACATAACCTGTCAGTTATGCTCCTCCAGAGAACTAGAGGACCCTGATTAGTACCAACATTCATATGCACATACATACAAAAATTATCTGGAAATTTTTATACTGAATAAATGCAGAGACATGGCGTCCCTTAAATAATAATGAAAGGACAAGATAAGGAGAAATGTAAGATAAGGGGAAGAGAGAGGAGTATGGTTTCAAAGACAGAAAGCTTTGCAATTGAAAGACTTTTTTTTTCCCAATGTGAAACTAAGGTCCCTTCATTTCCCTAAAACTCAGGGTTGTAGTCAATTAAAGCATAGGAAAACAAAACCAGGCCAGTAAGTGACCACAACACAGGGCTGCTAAAATGCCAGAGAGATGTGAAAGCAGTTAAGACAGCCTACCTCCCATACAGAGGTCACATGTTCAGTTCCCAGCACCCACATCCGGTGGTTCAGAAGCATCTCTCATTCCAGCCCCAGGGGATCCAACACCCTCTCCGACCTCTGAGGAAACTCTACTTCCAAATGGACATACCCACTTCCGCTTAGACACAGGAATAGGACTAAAAATGAATACATCTTTAAGTTGCAAAGGACTGTCTGGAGTGGAGGAGGGATACTGTGGTGCTAACTTGGGTGGAAAAGCTTCCTGCAACTGGAGGTGCAGTTTCATTCTGAACACCCTCACAACTAAAGCAGGGAGGACACAGGAAGACTGGAAAGTGTTGGCCATCTGAGAATCTTGCCCACATAATTACAACATTAGTCTTCATAGATTCAACGGGCAGGAAAGGAGCTGAGCAGAGGAACCATGTGGTTTCTCCCCTCTTCCATCCTCTTAGTTTTACAAATGGGGAAACATAAAGAAAAGCAGTAACCCACAGCATTTCTATTAGAGAGCACTGACAGGGAAATGTCACGTCAAAGGCACCTGTTATTATTAACTAGCAAGAGCAGAGCCATTGACGAGATTTCCGTGAAATAAAGAAATGATTGGAAAGCCCTGGCCACTTGGACATCCTGTGTTAATTCTTCCCGCCAATTATTCTTGTCATCTCCCCATAGCTCAGTCTCATTATATTAGAAGAAAATAATAAATAGTTTGGTTTAAACTATTTCCCAAGGATTTCCAACTTTCTAACAGTTCTCGTATCATACAATTAAATTATGCCCAGTGACTGTGAATCATTCTAGAAATAGTTTCCCAAACCAACTAGTTGATAACCATCATATCCCCAGAGAAACATGTCCTGTGTTGTTTTTAAATAAGACTGTATTCTTCTATAAATTCTAGTGAAGAGACTAATTCTATTGAACTTTTTCCTCCTATATTAAAAATGATATGAACCCCTAGTTTTAAAGGTGTTACCTGGAAACCCATATTGTTCAAGATTCACCTGAAACTTCAAAATGTTTTTGATGTCTGTCTTAGTTACAGTTTCTATTGCTGAGATGATACACCAAAACCAAAAGGCAAGCTGAGGTTAAAAGGGTCTCTTTGGCTTACACTTCAACATCACTGTTCATCATCAATGGAAGTCAGGACAGGAACTCAAACAGGGCAGAAACCAGGAGGCAGGAGCTGATGCAGAGGCCATGGAAAAATGCTGCTTACTGACTTTGCTCCCTATGTCTTTCTCACTCTGCTGAGAACCCGGGACACCAGCCCAGGGTTGGCACCACCCACAATAGGCAGGATCCTTTCCCATCAGTCACGGATTAAGAAAATGCCCCACAGGCTTACTGACAGACAAGTTTATGGAGGTGTTTTCTCAATTGAGGCCCACTCCCCTGATAACTCTAGGATGTGTCAAGTTAGCATGAACCTATCTAGTACAATTGCAATATCCACAATTTGCTGTGATAAACGCAGCAAAAACATTATTATTCAACAACGAGATGCTATAGAAAGAAAAATAAAAATGGACAGCTTTGATATAGTCATGATGCTCATAAGAAGTTTTATGTTGATTTCTATTGCCTATTAATGAACCATACCACTGCTCTCATATTAGAACATCTTTCAGACATTATGTAGTAATTTTAAAGATATAAAAGGCAGAAGAAAATATTAAAGAATTAAGACTATGGGGAGAGATGATTAATAGAATAGTCTATACCATTGGCTAGTTTCATTTCCTGGCATTCATTCTTTCTCACTGTCATTTATCTATCATATATTTACCAATGTTATATAGTCTGTCTACCATCTACCAATTCTCAATTACCTATCATCTATTTGTATGTCTAATATCATCTATCTGTATGTCATCTATCTATCTATCTATCTACCTATCTATCTATCTATCTATCTATCTATCTATCTACCTACCTACCTACCTACCTGTCTATCTATCAAACATCTACCTGTCATCTCTCAGAGCTTAGCTTGTCTCCATTCTCCATGTACCCAACCTGGTTCTACATTGGTTTGACATTTTTTTTCTACATTAAATGTAGAGTTTCAACTCTCCATATTTATTTATGTGACTGTTCTTTCATTTAATTACTTTAGTACAATCATGTTCTGTCTTTGGTTGAGCTGAAAATGGAAGCTGTATCAGAGTTGAGTTTTCATTTTAGGTGTGCTGATTCTGCCTCTGGATTTTGAATGAGAAGTAAATTTTAAAATTTCAATTTAATAATTGGCAATTTTTATTATGTATACAGAAGATACAAAGGAGCAATCCGAGGGTCCACATTGCTTCCCATAACAGTTAAAAGACATCACACGTCTAGCTATAAGCATAGTGCTGGATAAAGAGTGAAGATAAGGTGTTACAGCCCACATTCACATGTGGTTTTCCATGAGAGATACTCACATAAGCAAGATTCACTCTAAGTATATATACAAACAAGGTGACCTTGACACCTAGGCTGCCCACTCTGTGGAATATCCCATTACTTTAATTAAAATTGACCTATGAAGCTGAATGTTTAAGATGGTTAATTTCATCAACATGGCAGTAAAATTTTTGTGGGAATAGTGGAGTTAGCGATTTGGTGTATGCATGGTAGCTGTCAACTTGAAAGAAATAACAATCACCTAGGAGATAAAACTTTTAGGTACATCTGTGCTGGGATTTATAAATTAATGTTATTGAGGAAGGAAAGTCCATTTTAAAGCAAGGAGCAATATTCTGTAGGATAGAATTCCGGGCTGCATGCAAGGAAAGTTAGCTGAGTACTAGCATCCATCCCTCTCTGCCTGCGTCACTACTGCAGATCTGGTATGACCAGCTGTCTCAACTCCTGTCTGCCTTCTTCCCAATTATACATGAAATGTGATCAATTGTTTCAATCCCACTCTGCCTGTTTCACTACTACAGATGCAATGTGACCAGCTGTCTCAATCCCTCTCTGCCTGCTTCCCTACTACAGATGCAATGTGACCAGCTGTTTCAAGCCTTCTCTTCCTGTTTCCCTACTACAGATGCAATGTGACCAGCTGTCTCAATCTCTCTCTGCCTGCTTC